AGGAGGAGGAGGAGGAGGAGGAGGAGGAGGAGGAGGAGGAGGAGGAGGAGGAGGAGGAGGCGGAGCCGGAGGCGGAGGCGGAGGAGGAGGAGGAGGAGGAGGAGGAAGAGGAGGAGCTGTGGGTGCACTCCAGCAGCCGCGCCTCGCCGAGGGCGATCCCGGGCGCGCCTGGATTTCACCCCGAGCGGGCGCCGGAGGCCCGAGTTGTGGCCTGCAGACTCGGATCTCCGACGTTCCTCCTCGCCTTCGGCCTCTGGGCGCCGCTGTCGGACCCCATCATCACAAGCGAATCCGGGACGAAAAACTGCCCCTTGGGGAGGTGGTCGGGACGTCGGGGGCCGCGGATCGAAGCGAAAAATCATCGGCGGATGTCAGGGTGATGGATGGACAGAGCATCCGCTGCATAGGATTTCCAGCAACGCTCTGGACGAACCCGTCCCGATCGACATCCGGCCTCGAGTCGCGAAATCAGGTTCAACGAACGAGCCGTCGACGTCGGTGGACCCTCGCTAGGACACGTACGGGCCGTCTCTTCGTCACCGAAACTCCATGCCCTCCGGTCGCGACCGACATTTGGCGCGCCCGAAAGCCGTTACCGAAAATATTTCTGATCTCGGATGATCTGGGTGTTCGACCCCGGCGTGCTTTCCCTCGTTTGAGGGGCAACGATAGGGGGGGACTGCCATTATTGGGGGGAAACATCGACCTGAAATCGGCGATACATCGCCGATAGATCGGCGATAGGCCCCCGATGGCAAATCCCCATGTCCCTGGGCGGGGACGGGTTATCGGGCCCCTATCGGCGATCCATGGGCGATTGGTGGTCGATGCATCCCCCCCCATGTGCCTATCCCCCCTATCGTTGCCCCTGATCTTTCCCGCCTCTGGGGCCAATTGTCAAGCGCAGGGGCGAAAGTGGGCCCCTGGCCGATCGGGGTTGCCGGGCCCGCCCAATTTCAACACGAACCCACAACGTGACGTCGGAGGTCCTTGACGAACTTCGACGCGACGTCGAACCTTCAACGTGACGAACTGCGACGCTGGCAACGTCGACGATCGAGTGTTTCTGGCGATCTCGACGGTGCCCTGAGGTCCTTCGGCGGCGCGCCACAGGGGGAAGTGAGAAGGAGCAGACCTCCTCCTCGCCATCGCTCGGACGTCCATTCCCCGTGCATTTTTCGATTTCGTGCGTGGCATTTCCCCGAATGATCAAGGATGCTCCTCGATGGTCCTCGCCGAAGGAACAATGCACACGTCCGAGCGATGCCAAGCCTCAGAAGGTGGCGGGGCTTCTCAGTTGCCCTCCGCCTTCTGGGAAGCCTCCTGTGCCATCGAGGAATTCCCCGGACACCCATCAGAAGGTCCGAGGCCTCCCGAGCCCTCCGAGAAGGCCCGCCTCCTTCATCGCTTTCCCCCCGGGCTCGCCGCCGAGCCCGCCAGCCTCGGGGATGCTTTCCAACAGCTGCGCCTCGCCGAGGCCGCTCTGGGGGTGCCCGGAGCGTCCCGAAAGGCCGCCGTAGGGAAAGACGAAGCCAGGACGAGGACACACTCGGATGAGGATGAATTGAAAATCTGTGAGATCCGGCAGCTCTGGAGGACGTCTCGAGCGCCACGGCCTTCTCAGGGCGTTCTGAGAACGTTCCAGAACGCTCGACTGCAACAAAAACCAAAAACAAAAACCAAAAACCAAGGATTGCAACAAAAACCGAAGGATTGCAACAAAAACCTAGGATTGCAACAAAAACCTAGGTTTTTGTTGCAATCCTTCGGTTTTTGTTGCAATCCTTCGAGCGCCACGGCCTTCTCAGAGCGTTCTGAGAACGTTCCAGAACGCTCTGGAACGGATTTGTCATCGTCCTGGCCCCGTCCGACTTCGGCCTCTGGGGCCTCTTCCCTGACCTTCCACCGTCCACACCTCTTCCGAGCAGCAGGTGGCTGCAGTGATTTCCTCGAGGTGCAGCGAATTTCAGAGACAGAAGCCTTCGGAGCTCCGCGCGGATTACTTGGATCGGCGCCGTATTCTCCCTGGCGGCGCCTCCGGCGCAGCCCCTGGGAGCTTCACCCGACCTGTTGCGTCGGCAAACCGAAAAGGCAGACAATCCCCAAAATTTGGACAAAAACTCATGGTGTTTGCATCTTGGGGCCCGCTCGGAACGTCTGGACTCGTTGTGAGCCGTCTGGAAGTCTTCGTGGAGCGCCTCGAGAGCGTGATGGGCCACCTGGAGACGACCGCGGGCGTCTGGGAGTGGTTCTCCGGCGCCCCAGAAGCGCCCCGCGAGCCCCGGGTCGCCTCTGGGACACCTCCGGGCCCCCTGGACCCGCCGCACGCGCCGTCGGGCATCGGGCCCTGGGCCTCCGTAGGGGTATGTATGTATGTAGGTCGGTAGGTAGGTCGGTCGGTAGGTAGGTTGGCATGTAGGTATGTATGCAGGTACAGCTGTATGCGCGGAAGCATGTTTGTTAAAGGTGCATCTCTGTACATGCGTACACTACTGCTAGAACCACGAGAACCACGCGCGCGCTTCGCGCGCGTGGGCTCTAGCACGCTCTAGTTGTAGTCCAAAGTGCGCGGTATCGGAGGGCATAGGCTGTCGCAGGGCTCGTGCCCTCAGGGAGCTCCACGTGCGGCCCCCAAGACAAGCTTGGCTAGCGTTCGCCCGTCCTTGCCGGCACAACCCTCACAGGGATCGCGCCCGAACAACGCAATTAACAACATAGAATACACACATGCGTATACATACATATATATACACATACATACATACATACATACATACATACATACATACATACATACATACATACATACACACATATATACATACATACATACATACATACATACATACATACATACATACATACATACATACATACATACATACATACATACATACATACATACACACACAGACAGACAGACATACAGACAGACAGACAGACAGACAGACAGACATACATGCAACATGCATACATACAGACAGACAGGCAGACAGACAGACATACATATATGTATGTGTATATGCGCAAGCATATGAAACAACAAACAAACGGCCGTTCTCATGTGCTTCGGAATCTCGGAGGCCTGGGTTGACCGCCCTCGTCGAAGCGGCGCGCTGCTTACTGACGGCGAGTGGGCGGCGCCCCCCTGGGGAGGGGTAGGGTGGCCGCCAGCGTCAAGCCCAGGGCCACGACGAGGCTGGGGCTCTCCAGCCTCGTGGGAAGATACCCGCCGTCGTCCTCCTCCTCCTCCTCCTCGTCGTCGTCCTCTTCCTTCCTCCCCCTCCTCCTCCTCCTCCTCCTCCTCCTCCTCCTCGTTCTCCACCTCCTCTTCCTCCACCTCCCTCCTTGCACGTGGCAGCTTCAGGAGGGTGTGCCCTCGGAGACGGGGCGACTTATCCTTCCCAGAGGGCCGACGCTCAAGCAACAAACGGGCGGTTTTTGGCTGTGCTCGGCATCGGGGGGCCCTCGCCGGGCCTCGGGGCCGTCACAAAACGAACCAAGACGAAAAGCCGGCCCTGGGGAAACTGGTCTGGACTTCCGGGGCCCACGCATCGAACACATGGAGGAGGAAGAGGAGGAAGAGGAGGAGGATGAGGAGGAGGAGGGAGGAGGGAGGAGGGAGGAGGGAGGAGGGAAGGAGGAGGCGGAGGAGGAGGAGGAGGGAAGGAGGAGGAGGAGGAGGAGGAGGAGGAGGAGGAGGAGGAGCAATTTGATGTCTGGGTCCAGATCGGCAGCGGGAGGAGCCGGCGCCAATCCTGAGGATCAGGAGGCGCTTGGGGCCCGCAGGCCGCCGTCGTCGTCAGCGCCGTTGCTCGGCATCCGATGGCTCGGTTGTTCCACTACCAGGTCCCCAGAAGTCTCCCGACGGCCTTCGGGGGGGCGGGGGAGGAGGAGGATCGCACGCCACTGAGGGGAAAGGGGGGTGAGAAAGTCAGACGGTCCAAAAAACCAAAACCCAGGGGGGCCCATCCGAGGGGAACTTTTTGTCACCCTGGCAGGACAGCCAAAGACCTGCCAGGGGCCAACGACAGGGCCCCCCCTGGGTATCTAACCGCCCAGTTATTCTTCCAGATCGTTGTCTGGGTCTCGCTCCTTCAGCTTCCGTCCCAATTCAGCGGCTTCGAACTCATTGAGTCCAAACGCTTGCAGGACATCTGCCAGGCACAAAATTGCACGTGCAGGTGGGTCCGTAGCGGCCCTGGAGACACCTCCTTCTCTCTTCTGGGCCCTCTTGGACTCCGAGACCCCACCAACCAGCTCTCGCGCCCAAGCCCCAGGAGTTCGCCAAGAGCCCAGTTTGAGAGGCCTGTTGGGGTGCTTGCCCTGCAGACAGCCCGAGTGTTCTTCCTGCCTGGGTCCACCAAGGCCTGCTGGGACCCTCCACAGCTCTTGCGAAGGCCTCTGGATCCCGCAGACACCGTGGCGTACCCCCCGCAGGTCGAACAAAAAAGGATGGGAGGCTGGTTGTCTTCAACCGAGAACTGAAGCAAGGCATGCCCTCCAATGAAGGCAGGGGTCTGGCGGGCATCCTCTGCCATCGCCAGCAGCTCGGGCCCCAAGGGCTCAGATGGAGGTCTCGAGGACTGTGGAGGCTGGTCGGGATGAGGAGCAGGAGCAGCAGCAGCCTCACCCCCGCCCCCCTCCTGCCTCCTCAACGCCTCAAGTGCCTCCTCCAAGTCAGATCCCCCCTCGGGGGAGGAGGAGGAGGAGGAGGAGGAGAAAGAGGAGGAGGAGGAGGAGGAGGAGGAGGAGGAGGCGGGGGAGGCGGAGGAGGATGGGAGGAAATAGTACGCACCCAGACTTCGGATCCTCCGTGCGATGGGTGATTTTCCGACTTGCAAGTGTATCGGACGTGCACCTGAGCTGTGCAAACCGAGTAGGGGGAATTTCCGCGCAGAGGAGGGGGGGTGGGGAGGGGGAGGAGGAAGAGGAGGAGGAGGAGGAGGAGGAGGGCACTGTAGGGGAAGCGAGGAAGCTGTAGCCTGACGGCCAAAACATGAGCGCACCATCGCTCGGGCTCACCATCGCTGGTCATCTGAATGGTTATGAACTCACCCTGCATGTTCACGAAATCGAACTGCATACCCTGGATCTCGGAACGACACGAAGAGAGCTCGGAGGACGCCTGGGTGAACCCTTCTGTCACTGTCTGCGTGCGTCCCGGTATCTGCCCACTCCATCGTACCTGGGGGGGGGGGACGCGGGCGGGCTCCTCTCTGGCGCCAGTCATGGGGACGAGAATGGAGAGCCCTGGGAACGACTTGCAATCGCTGCCAGTCCCAGCGACAGGCGTCGGAGCTGTCGCGCCGCCGCACCGCTCAGCAGGGAGGCCCGCCCTTGTGCGCGAGGGGGGGAGAAGGGCCCGAGAGCGCGGCGCGCGGCGAGGCCCGAGGGAGCAGAGAGAGCGGGGGGCCCAGGGGCAGGGGTAGCGGAGCGTCCCAGATCGCGCAGATCACCTTGGGCCAACATGGCTTGAGCCAAAATGGCCACGGAATGATGATCCTCATGATGTTTATGATGATGACGACGATGATCATGCTGATGACGATGACGATGCTGATCATGATGATGTTGGTAATGATGTTGGTGGTGATGATCATGATGATGATGATGATGATGATGATGATGATGATGCTGATGATGTTGATGATGATGATGATTGTGATGAGCATTATGATGATGATGATGATGATGATGATGATGATGATGATGATGATGATGATGAGTATGATGATGATGAAACTGATGATGATGATGATGATGGTGATGATGATGATGATGATGATGATGATGATGATGATGATGATGATGGTGATGCTGACGATGTTGACGCTGGTGATCATGCTGATGATGCTGCTGATTATTCTCATAATGCTGATCCTTATCGTAATCATGATGATGCTGATGATGATACTGATGCGAATCATGATCATACTCATGATGATGCTGATGGTGATGGTGCTGATGCTGCTGATGATGCTGATGCTGATGATGATGCGTATGATGTTGATGATGATGCTGCTGATGATGACGATGATAATAATGACGAGCACGAGGATGATGATGCTGTTGTTACTGATGATGCTCATGATGCTTATGATGATGATGAGGATGAGGATGAGGATGAGGATGAGGATGATGATGATGATGATGATGATGCTGATGCTGATGCTGATGCTGATGCTGATGACAAGGATGAGGATGAACATGAGGAGGAGGAGGAGGAGGAGGAGGAGGAGGAGACAGGAGGAGAGAAGAGGAGGAGCAGGCGGAGGAGGAGGAGAAGACATGAGGAGGAGGAGGAGGAAGAGCAGGAGGAGCAGGAGGAGAACGGAAGAAGATGAGGAGAACGAAAGAAGAGAGGACCAGGAGCCCCGCCGGGCCTCCCGCTCGCCCCCCTCGACGGACACAGCGCCGCCGGCAGCGCCAGGCCCAGCGGCGCGCAGAGCGGGGGCACGGCGGCCACCGCCCAGAAGCAGGCCTCCCGGCCCCGCGAGCGCACGGCGGTCGGCGGCGGTCGACGGCGGCGGCGTTCGACTCACGTCGTCGACGGCGGCGACGTCTGACGGCGTTCGGCGACGTGCGTCGACGGTCGACGGAAGTCGGCGACGGTCGACGACTGTCGACGCCGTTCGCCAACGATCGACGAACGTCGTCGACGGTCGACGGCGGCGGCGGTCGACGGCGTTCGTCGGCGGGGTCGACGCCGTTCGTCGAGGGTCAGCGGCGTCGACGTGGCGCGCGCGCGCTTGCCTGGTGACGTCAACGACGCATCGCGGCACGCGCGCGCGTGCACGACCGCGAATCGGAGCGGATCGGATCGAATCTGGCAAGATTCGGTGTCTAGGGGAAGAAACATATGCGCAAACACAAACAGTTGGAACTACGATAACGTATGCTTGTATACTATTATTTTTTTTTGTGGCAACTCATTGGAGCCTCCTATACCCTCTTGTTGTCCGACGCTGATCGACGCCAATCGACGATGATCGACGCTAAATCGACGCTAATCGACGCTAGCCGACACTAATCGACGCCAAATCGGTGCTATCCCATTGATTACCAGACGCTACTCGACGCTAATCGACGGAACTAAAAAGGTATATAAGGATCCAATGACTTGCTACCGAACTCATTCTTGTTCGACGCATCGGACCGAATTCGGCAAACATCGCTGTCGAATCGAGTCGGGTCTGTCGACACAGAGTCGACGGCGAACCGGAGCGATCGGCGTTCGACGACGGCGCGCGAAGGCAGCCCAGATCTCCGACGAGATGCTTCTGTCCAATCGGGGCGTCTTCCCCCGCTCTCGGCGACCCCGGGGCACGCTATCGGGTCTGGGGCCCCCGCGGACACTCAATCGCGGTGGCGAGCGAAGGAAATAGAAGGCGGCGGGGCTTCTCAGAAGCCCTCGCGCCTCCTGAGGGCTTTTTCTCTGTCTTCGGAGCAGGCTCCCAAAACTACTCCGAAGGCCCGCAGGGACTTCCGAGCCTTCCGAGAAGGCCCGCCCCTTCTCACTTCCCCCCCCTCGCTCGCCGCCGACAGTCGGGGGGGCGAAATGCTTGCCCTGGGACAGGGGACGGGACCGCTGGGGCCGCGGACTGAAGAGAACACAGATCGGCGGAAGTCGGGGGTCGCCGACGCCGCGCGTGCGCGCCTGGCGCGGACGACGCCGACGCCGTCGACGGCGTGCAGCCACGCCGACGTCGTGGCGGCGCCGACGTCGACGCCGACGTCGGTCGCGCCAGGAGGCACACACTGACGCCCCGTGAGCGCCGTGCCGCCGGAAAGCTGGAACTGGACCGGACCGACTGAAGAGCCGGAGCCGCATCGGGCCGAAGCGGCAAGAGCCTACATCGAGTAGAACCCGTCGGATCGAACCGGATCGGCGGTCGGATCGGGTTCAGAACCCAAACATCCAGCGTCTCGATTTGTTCGAAGCACGGGCCCCAGATCTCTCGACCACTTCCCCGGGGCCCGTGTTTCATCCCGAATTGTTTTTTGACGGTCCCGAGGCCCGGTAAGGGCCCCGAGACCCCAAAAACGGTCAAAACCTCTGTCTCGATTTTTCGAGACGCCAGATGTCTGGAAAAGCGGTATCAGACGATATTCAGATAACCCGTCGCAGCACCCCATACATCGGGTCCATTCACACTCGGCGTCGCGTCTGAGGCAGTGTCGAGAGCGGACTGAGAAGCGAGGACGAGGAGGACGACGAAGACGAATCCTCCTCCTCCTCCTCCTCCTCTTCCTCCTCCTTCTCCTCCTCTTCCTCCCCCCTCCTCCTCCTCCTCCTATCCAGCCTCCTCCTTCTCCTTTATTCCCCTCCTCCTCCTCCTCCTTCTCCTCCTCTTCCTCCTCCTCCTCCCACTCCTCCTCCTCCCTCCCCTCCCCCTCCTCCTCCTCCTCCTCCTCCTCCTCCTCCTTCTCCTTATAGACAACTCCTCCCTGTCGCACCACGAGGCCAGTTAGGGCGGGCCGGGCGTTTCGCCTGAGACTTCCTCACCATGTATGACTCTGATATGTAAAAAAAGTGACAGCATTTTCACAGATGGAAGGCGGGTCGCTTTCAAAATGTGACTCTCGCCTCAGCGCCGCGCACATTCGCTTGTGGTTTTCAAAATGTGGCTCTCGCCTTAGCGCCGCGCACATTCGTTGTACAAATGTGCAAGAGCTTCACGGATTCAGGGCGGGTCGTTTTCAACATGTGGCTCTCGCTTCAGCGCCGCGCACATATTCGTTAAACATAATTACACGAGTTTCGCGGATTGAGGGCGGGAGGTTTTCAACATGTGGCTCTCGCCTTAGCGCCGCGCGCATTCGTTTTAAAACATTGAAACAGCTTCACGGATTGAGGGCGGGTCGTTTTCAAAATGTGGCTCTCGCCTCAGCGCCGCGCACATATTCGTATTCTACATGTCGCAAGCGTTTCACGGATTGAGGGCGGGTGGTTTTCAAAATGTGGCTCTCGCCTGAGCGCCGCGCACATTCGTTGTACAAATTTGCCAGAGTTTCACGGGTTCCCATAATCAACGTGCCAGAAATGGCATTTTGGAAAGATTCAGGATTATGCGGGCGCAGCAGTTGTGTTGATTCGCTGTTGAAGTTCCAAGAATGGCGTTCTGGCGCGATTTGGGATCGTCAAGACGCAGCAGTCAGGTCGATACGTGGCGTTGAGATCCCGAGAACAATGGTTTGGCACGCTTCAGGATCTTCAAACTGTTGCCTTCCAACGAGGCAGTTCCTCAATGGAAATGAACGCTGGAGGGGCCCGTGAAGAGGGAGCATGGAGGGAGGGTTAATTCCAACGTCGTTGATGACCCTTGGGTTTCCACTGGTCCTCCTCCGCCTCCTCCTCCTCCTCCTCCTCCTCCTCCTCCTCTTCCTCCCCCCTCCTCCTCCTCCTCCTCCTCCTCCTCCTGCTCCTCCTGCTCCTCCTGCTCCTCCTGCTCCTCCTGCTCCTCCAACTCCTCCTCCTCCTCCTCCCCCTTCCCCGTCTCCTCGTCCTCGTCCTCCTCCTCCTCCTCCTCCTCCTCTTCCCTCCTCCTCCTCCTGCTCCTCCTCCTCGACCTCCCTCCTCCACCTCCTCCTCCCTCCTCCTTCATCATCTCTCCTCACTCCTCCGCATCGTCATACTCCTCCTCCTCCTGCTCCTCCTCCTGCTCTACTCCTCCCTCCTCTCCTGCCCTCCTCCTCCTCCTCCTCCTCCTCCTCCTCCTCATCATCATCATCATCAGCATCAGCAGCATCATCAGCATCAGCATCAGCATCAGCATCCTCCGCCTGCTCCTGCTCTTGCTCATGTTCCTGCTCGTGTTCCTGGGTATCGTCATTGTCCTACTCCTGCTCCTGATCCTGCTTCGCCTCCTCCTCCTCCTCCTCTTCCTCCTCCGCCTCCTCCTCCCCCTCTTGTTCCTCCTCCTCCGCCTCCGCATCCTACTCATCTTCCTCCTCCTCTTCCTCCTCCTCCTCCTCCTTCCCTTTCATTTCTTCTTAATAGTCGTATTAATCGTCTGAATATCATGAATTGCATCGTGTGCAGGATTTCTATGGTTACCAGGATACTTCCTTGGTTGTTCTATTACTAGAAGTTGCATCATCCATCTTATTGATATTATTGTTCTTATTCGTAATAATAGCGTTCGTATTCTTATCCACCTCCTTCGCATTCACATTGCTCTTCATCATATTGTTCTGGAATGAAGTTGTATGCAATATCCTCCTCCTCGTTCTCCTCTTCCTCCGCAGATTCCTCCTCCTCCTCATCCTCTGTTTCCTCCCCCTCATCCTCCATCGCCTCCTCCTCCTCCTCCTCATTCTTCCTCCTCCTCCTCCTATACTGGAAACACCTCCCTCCTCTATCATCATCCTCAATACTCTTCATCCTCCTATCCTCTCGTCTCCTCCTCTACCTCAGTCCTCGATCCTCTTCTCCTCCTCATCATCCCTCCTATTCCTCCCCCTCCCCCTCCTCCTCCTCCTCCTCCTGTTTTCCGTATTCTCCTCTTTCTCGTTTTTCTCCTCCTCCTCCTCGTCCTGCTCCTCCTCCTCGTCCTGCTCCTCCTCCTCCTCCTGCTCCTCCTCTTCCTCTTCCTCCCTCCCCTCCTGTCCGCCTTCACAGCGATACACTATGGATACGAATGTCCTTTCCCCCTCGAAAACCTCGAGGTCGTAGCCTTCCCCCCCTCCGCGTTTTCCTCCTACACATAGGATCCCCAAGAGGTGATCGATCGTATACGATTTTCCAATCCGAGCATTCTCTGTCATTCCCAAGTGGCGTTCCCGCTGCAGCGTTGGGTCCATGCTGGCTGTCAATCATTTCAAATCCGACTCCCAGTGCAGCGCTGACCTCATTTCTTCGCTGAGGGTCATCAAAAAATCGTGATCCCGCTGCAGCGTCGTTATCAGTTTACGCTTCCTTTCTTTCCGAACCGTTCATTTACATGTTTCGTCTTGCGTCCTGTCGAGTTTCCCTCCGAACATGTTACGATCCCCGGTGTTCTTCTGCGTTGTGCTACGCAATGCACGACGATGCATCTCGTACCCTCTCGGGATCATTGCCCTGCTCGACATCCGACAGTGCGGATAGAGAGGAGATCTACGCCATGGTAAAGGATGGGAGGGAGGGGTAGGACGTCAGATAAGACGCTTGCGCACCTAGCTTGTCCCCCCCCTCTTCCTCCCCCCTCCTCCCCCCCCTCCTCCTGCTCCTCCTCCTATTTATCCTCCTCCTCCTCCTCCTCTTTCTCACCGTCGTAAGGCTCTCGGGACCGGGCCGAGCGAGGACTGAGGTCTTCGAGGGGCGAAGCTTTCGCAGACCGAGGGCGGAAGTTCGAGCTTCGAGGTCTTCTCCCAATCTCGCCCCCCGCGCGCCCACTTAAAGCGCAGCCGTTGCCTCAGCCCCAGGGTGTGTGTGTGTGTATGAACGTGTGTGTGTGTGTGAATGTGTGTGTGTGCGCGCGCGATGCCGCTTCACGTCCACTACCAGGCCGCCTCAGCCGCAACCTTCCGCCCCGGCCATTTCGTGCCGATGTTCATCGCGCTGCGAGTGTTTCCCCTCTTTCCGCCCCCCGCGGCCGCCTTCCGCCTTCCTCTGCCTGTAGTGCCCCCGGCTACTTGAGCGCGCGTGCGGATTGCCTCTGCCGCGCTGCAACACAAAAAAGCCCAATTGATGCCCTGGGGCCGTCGAGTGCCGACCCTTAGCGACAACATCGCAGATGTGACGGGCAATCTCCTTATCCTCGAAGAAATGGTCCTTTCTGGTGTCGACGAATTTGCCACGGTTGGAGATTCCGTCGTGATCACCTCTGCTTCTCTCGTGTTGAAGCGGCCTCTCATCGTAAGTCGGGTACCAATGGAGTGCAGAAAATGTTGACTGTTATTTCAACACACGTGGCCTGAACATGCTGGCGGTCAAAGCCATGTTTTTCTGGGGTAGGCTTTTCTCCACTCTCACTGAAGCTGCGATGTACGTTTTCCAGACCAGGCGGCGGTGAGATCTGCAATGTTCATTAAAGAAATGTCAGCCGTTCGGGATGTTCGGGCGTGCGTACATCTTGCTCTCTCTCTCTCTCGCCGCCTCAAATTGGTCATCCTCTTCGCCTCCATGGCCAACAGCCAGCTGCACACGGGCCACACCCTCTTCCGCTGAGAACAGGGGCGGCGCGTTTTGCTCCACGAGTCGGAGTGCGGCAGCGGAGCTCGGGTGGCCCGAGTGGTCTTCGAGGGGAAAGCCATGAAACCTGCTTGTCGGGTCGGGGCCCTGCTCGATCTGGACCACGGCGACTCGGAGGGAGGACGAAGGCGATGAGAACAAACGAGCGACCCGAAGGATCGGGCCTTAGGTGAGATGCCACAGCGACCATACGCGGTGGCCTGCGCGGGCCGCCGGCGTGGCACGCCACACCGAGAACGGCGGCCCTCACGCGCGACCCTGTGCGGGTAGCTTGCCCGCGGTACGACGGCGAAGACAACGCCGCTTTCCCGCTCCCGTGCGCGCCCGGACGGAGACCCAGGCCGCCGACGCCACTCTTCTTCCACAGCGTCGACCCCCGGAGCATGCTCGGAGCATGTGCAAACGACAACGGCAGTCGTCCCCGAAGGGTGCACCAAGACGAAAAAGGTGTGCTGGGAAGGACAGGAGCCGGCCCATTTGCGGCCACTTTACCCGAGGTGGTGTACCGCCTCCGGTGGTGCTGGCACGAAGACCCTCATTCCGAGTCGGTTGTGGGTTTCCCTCGGCCAAGCGACGGCCCCTGGAGTCCCACAACAGCCAGAGACCGCACGCCGATGTTTTTCGCTACTGGACCTGGACTTCGGGTTCGCCGTGCGTTGGTTTATTCGCCGGTTCACAGTTGTGTCGGAAATGCACTCCAAACGATGTATACAAAAAACATGTATTTCTACATCAGAAAAAAATGGAGCTGCCATCTTCGCAAATGTAGGGCGGAAGCCGCGACGACAAAACAGGAGGGAAATCTACATCGAAGGAGCTTGAAGAGTGGGGCGGGCATTGCTGCCCTGTCTGCAAAATCGGCCAAAAAATGCGGCGGATCCGAAGTCCGAAGTGGGGGTCCCCCTCCTCCCTCGTCCTCGTCGCTCTCGTCGTCGTCGTCGTCCTCCTCCTCCTCCTCCTCCTCCTCCTCCTCCTCCTCCTCGTCCTCGTCCTCGTCCTCGTCGTCGTCGTCGTCGTCGTCCTCGTCGTCGTCGTCGTCCTTCGTCATCATCGTCGTCGTCCTCGTCCTCGTCGTCGTCGTCGTCGTCCTCGTCCTCGTCGTCCTCGTCCTCGTCGTCGTCGTCGTCGTCGTCGTTGTCGTCGTCGTTGTCGTCGCAGTGGCCGTGGCCGTGGCCGTGGCCGTGGCCGTGGCCGTGGCCGTGGCCGTGGCCGCGGCCGTCGTCGTCGTGCCCGAGAGGCCCCAAACTGCCAGAGACCGCCGGTCGGCATTTTTTTAAACAAAAAAGGGGAAAGGGCGGCTCAAGAGGCCCCAAGGGCCACCACCCAACAAGCCCCCAAGAGGCCCCAAAACGACCCCCAATAGGCCCCCAAACGGCCCCAAAACAATGTCAAAACGGCCTCCGAGAGGCCCCTCACGAGATTCCAACGAATATCCACTAGCTATACAACCCACAACCCAGACACGGTGGCGGGACTTGCCGTTGGCAGCTGGATATGTTTCGACATCGCCGCCGCCGCTGTCGTCCTCGAGAGGCCCAAACTGCCAAAGACCGCCGTCGGCCCTTTTTTCGACACCAGGGGGGGCCGCCGATGCTGACGCTGCGAGCTTTCGCTCCGCGGCTTGTCTACGAAAGAGGAAGGGGGCGGAGGAAGGAGGGAGGGAGGGAGGGGACGGAGAGGGAGGGAGGGGCGAGGCTGACGGACGGGAGGGAAGGGAGGGACGGGGAGGGAGGGAGGGAGGGAGGGAGGGAAGAGCAGTAGCAGCTGGAGGGGGCAGGAGAGGAGGGGCGGAACCTCGCTGACCGACTCCCGCAGGCTGATGAGCCACAGCGCGCACCCCGCGGAGAAGAGCACGGACCCCGCCGCGATGCTCAGAAGGGGCCGATCCATGGGCGGGCCGCGGGTGGCGGGTGGCGGGAGGGGAGAGGGAGGGGAGGGAGGGATAGAGACGAGGAGGATCGATGGAAGACAAGGAGCAGGGAGGAGGAGGAGGAGGAGGAGGAGGAGGAGGAGGAGGAGGAGAAGGAGCGAGGAGGAGGACGAGGAAGGAGGAAGAGGAGGAGGAGGAGGAGGAGGAGGAGGGGGAGGAGGAGGAAGGGGAGGGGGCAGGGGGAGGAGGAGGAGAGGAGGAGGAGGAGGAGGAGGAGGAGGAGGAGGAGGAGGAGGAGAAGTGGGGCTAGGAGGAGGAATAGGACAACGACGACGAGGAGAATGGGGAGGAGGAGGAGGAGCGAGGAGGCGGAGGAGGAGGAGGAGGAGGAGGAGGAGGAGGAGGATGTGGAGGTGAGGTGGAGGAGGAGGAGGAAGGGAGGGAAGAGGGGTAGTAGGAGAGAGGGGGAGGAGCGGGCAGGAGGAGGAGGAGAGAGGAGGAGGAGGAGGAGGAGGAGGAGGAGGGGAGGAGGAGGAGGAGGAGGAGGAGGAGAGGAGGAGGAGGAGGAGGAGGAGGAGGAGGAGGAGGAGGAGGAGGAGGAGGAGGAGGAGGAGGAGGAGGAGGGGTGAGGGGGAGGGGGAGGCGGAGGAGGAGGAGGAGGAGGGAGGAGGAGGAGGAGGGAGGAGGAGGAGGAGGAGGAGGACGACGACGAGGAGGAGGAGAGGAGGAGGAGGAAGAGGAGGAGGAGGAGGAGGAGAGGAGGAGAGCGAGGAGACGGAGGGAGGCGGAGGAGGAGGACAACGACGAACGATGGGGGAGGGAGGGGACTTAGAGATCTTGTCGCTGCAGCTGCAACTTGTTCACAACGGGCGTCTTCGCCCGGCGTCGGGCCCCAGTGCCATCGTACGGGGCCCCCCTCGTAAGGTACCTCCTTGGTTGCTCCCGTCTCGTCGTCCTCCTCCTCCTCCTCCACCTCCTCCTCCTTCTCCTCCTCATCCTCTCCCACCACTTCCCACCTCACCTCCTCCTCCTTCCTAGTCATACTCCTGTTCCGCTCCTGTCCTCCATCACTTCCTCCCGTCCGCCTCGTCTCCTCGTCAACCCACCTCCTCATCCTGTGCCTCCACCTGCCTCAGTCCTCTTTCTTCTTCTCCCCTGCCCCCCAACCATGGCCACGCCCACCCGACTGCACCACCCCTATTACCAGGGGGGAGCAGAGGCAGGAGGGGAGGAGGGCAGAAGGAAGAGATGCGGTGATGATGCGGAGGAGGAAGAGAAGGAGGAGGAGGTGGAGGGGAGGAGGAGGAAGGATGGAGGCGGGGGAGGAGGAGGCGGGGGGGAGGAGGAAGGAAGGAGGAGGAGGAGGAGGAGGAGGGGGGACGCGAGGAGGAGGAGGAGGAGGAGGAGGTGGAGGTGGAGGAGGAGGAGGAAGAGGAGAGGAGTAGGAGGTACAAGAGGAGGAGAAGGAAGTCGGAGGTGGAGGTGGTGGTGGAGGAGGAAGGGGGGGGAGAAGGAGGGAGCGGGAGAGGCGGAGGTGGTTGGAGGCGGAGCCGGAGGAGGAGGAGTGAGAGGCGGAGGAGGTGACGAGGAAGGAGGAGGAGGAGGAGGAGGAGGTGGAGGAGGAGGAGAGGAGGAGGGATGAGAGGGGGGGGGAGGAGGTGGCAGGACGAGGGGGGCGAACGGAGGAGGACGACGGAGCGACGAGCGAAGGACGTGAGCAGCTGGAGCCGAAGACGATAAGAGGGAGGAGGGGAATATGGGGAGGGACGAGGAGGTGAGGAGAGGAGGAGGAGGAGGAGGAGGAGAGGAGGAGGAGGAGGAGGAGGAGGAGGAGAGAAGGAACAGGGGGTGTTGGAGAGGTGGGGGGTGGGGGGGGATGTTCAGGAGGAGGAGGAGGAGGGGGAGGAGAAGGAGTAGCACTGGCCGAAGAAGAGAAAGCGGACAAGACGGGAGCAAGGGAAAAGACAGGGCGGACACGAGGCGAAGGGGGGAGAACAAATGAGTCCAAGTCCCCAGTGTGCGCGAGGCACAGCAGAATTCACATGGACTAGAGAGCGGCGGCAGCAGCAGGCGGGGCGCGCCTCGGAGCAGTTCCGCGGCACGCGGAGACCGCCGCGCGGCTGTGCGTAGGCGGGCCACGAGGAGCCCACGGGTGAAAGCGGGGGAGGAAGAGCGGGAAGAGGCACGGAGGGACTGGTATGAACAATGCACGGCGTCGAGAGCAAGAGCACACGAAAACATATATTCAATAGTATTGGGAAAGAGGTGAGGGAGGAAGGAGGCAAGCGGGTCAGATCCGTACTCTTCTGGGAGAAATCGAAGGGCCCGTTTCAATCAGTCAACAGCGATTGGACAGGCTAGATAATGGAGCAGATCATCACCGCCAATGGCCAAACACCCTATTTTGCACGCGAGCGCCCCACACCTGTACCTGCGGCTGGTGCTCCAGCCGTTGAAGATCGTATTTAGCATGGCAGTGACAATATAAGTAGGCAAGTACTTGTTAATACTATTGGCACGCGTAACAATGAGGTCCATAATGCGAGGGGGAACATCATCAAGCCATTTAGTCACGCGTGGATAAACAATTAAAGCAGCTTGGGGCAGAGGGAAATCTGGGAGCAACTCTCGGGTAATCCACCTCTGGGCAGCACGAGCAGGTATATCAGGACATGACCGTACACTATAAAACTGATGGTAAAGAGTGGACATATGAACCAATATCGAAGTTCGCGCCATCGGAGAATGACGCCATATAATACAGGTATTGCCCTCCCCATCTTCCGCCCTCATCCACCTATCATACTTCAGAAAGACCACGCTCTTAGTAGCAGCCCGTAAGAGACATGCACGTGCATATAGCTCGAGCTGTCGTGTTTTAGCGTCGTGGCCCAGGGAGTCCAGAGCGTGCAGGGAAGCTGGAGGAAAGGCATGACGCGGGCAGCACGTCAGCAACTGGAGGCAATCCTTCTCGATATTTCTTGCACGCCGAGGAGGGGGATGAATCTGCGCACAGTGCCCGACAACAGGTAGGGCGTAGGTGTTGTAGGCCTGTACACTGATACTCAAGCCCTGTTTTAAGCTCTTCACGCGGAGGGACCGTTCCTTCAAATGCACAAGCACGGGCGACCAGCTCAGATCAGCTCCACCGAGACCGACCCCGACCCCAAGATACCACCAACATTGGGAAATAATGAACTTCTTGATATTCACCCCAGCTTGCTTACAGAGTGCTATGGCCTGGCGGAAAGTGTCATAGTGGGGGAAGATAAGCTGGCACTTCTCAAGATTCAAACTCAAGCCGGTGCCAAGGCCGGTGAGACGGAGCGTCATCAGGATTCTGGGAGGTAGCGAAACTAGATCACAACTCGTGACACTAAGATCATCTGCGAAAGCATTGATAACCATGGGAATAGCATACGCATGTTCGTGAAGCCGGCGAATGACAGGATCAAAACAAATGCTGAAAATGATACCGCTAAGTGGACACCACTGTTTGACCCCTCGTTCGAAGGAGGGGGAGGAGGAGGAGGAGGAGGAGGAGGAGGAGGAGGAGGAACAGCAGGAAAGGAGGGGGAGGGGGAGGAGGCGGGGCAGGACGAGGAGGAAGAGGAGGACGAGGAGGGCGAGCGACGACGAGCGAAGGACGGTGAGCAGCCGGAACCGAGGACGAGGCGAAGGGGGCAGCGGGCAGCGGGCAGCGGGCGGGGCGTCGGGCTCAGGCCGTCGCCCCCGCCGCGCCGCGGGGGGAGCCGCGGCGCGCCCTGCGGGGGAGCCCGCGGGCGCCCCGCCCCTGCGGCGGAGCCCGGCGCGCGGCGGCGCCCGGCGGTGCGGGGCGTCGGGGCAGCGGGCCGTCGCCGTCGTGGTCGTGGTCGTGGTCGTGGTCGTGGTCGTGGTCGTGGTCGTGGTCGTGGTCGTGGTCGTGGTCGTGGTCGTGGTCGTGGTCGTGGTCGTGGTCGTCGTCGTCGTCGTCGTCGTCGTCGTCGTCCTCGTCGTCGTCGTCGTGATCGCCGTCGTCGTCGTCGTCGTCGTCGTCGTCGTCGTCGTCGTCGTCGTCGCCACCGTCGTCGCCGTCGTCGTCGTCGGTCGTCGTCGTCGTCGTCGTCGTCGTCGTCGTCCCCCCGCCCGCCCCCGCGAGGCCGAGGCGGAGGGGCAGCGAGAGGATTCTCTTTTTCCTTCCCGGCCCTCCTGCGCTGGGTCCTCGTTTGGAACAGAGCGCTGCGGTCGCGTCTCCCTCCTCCCTCTGCCCTCCTGCCTGCCTCTCACCGCGCCGTCACCACCCCTGGGAAGCTGCGAGCTGCGGAGCTGTCGCCACTCTCGAGGGCTGCTGGGGGGTCCAGTGGAGCGACGTCCAGCGGACCAGCGACAAGATTTGTTTTGACCAAATATTCCGACACACACTGAATTCGATTCAACAGCCAGATGCGGAAAGGTCAGAACATGCAACTTGTACAGATGCGTATCTGCGTAGATCCCAGCAAACCGAATATCCTGGCAGGATTGTTTGACGAGAGAAGGAGGACCAGTTTAAACCCACGACCCAACGATGTTACAAGAAACCTTCTCTCCAAATTCCCTTTTCATAGGTCCCTCAGAGCTGCATTGTCGCTAACTGAAATGCTCCGTTGGAAGACAACCAAACTCTGAGCCGTGCCAGAACACCATTCCTGGAACTTCGACGCCGCGAATCAACGTTACTGTTGCGTCCAGCCGATCCCGCATCGTGCCAAAACACCATTCCTGGGATTTCAACACCGCGAATCAACGTGATCGTTGCGCCCTGAAACAAATAGATCGTGCCAATACACCGCTTCTGGGACGTGGGCCATATGGCTACATAACCCGTGAAACTGTTGAGAACTCGTAAGACGAATGTGCGCGGCGCTGAGGCGAGTTCTGAAAAAATGTAGTAATGCCTCCATCCGTGAAGCTCCTGCAAACTGTGAGGGCGAATGCGCGCGGCGCTAAGGCGAAAACCACAGCTTGAAAACCACCCGCCCTCCATCTGCGAAGCTCTTGCAACGGTCTAGGACGGCTGCGCGCGGCCCTTATGCGAGAAACACATCTTGAGAACGG